AAAGACTCAAAACTATCTCTGCTTCCCTGGACGCCAAGAGTCCAGTCGAACTCGGCCTTGACGCCGGAGGTTCAAGAACTCAGAATGCTCCGCAGCTGTTTTTGGCAGGGATATGATGGGATATGATGGGATATGACTGATATGAATTGATGTGAATTGATATGACATGCTATAGTAACTATACTATAGGTTTGGATAGGTTTTGAGGAAGGCTAGCGCCATTTGTCGCGTGTCTCAGTGTAAACCACTATGATCACTATCGGACTCTGGGATATGCTTCTCAGACTGATGCGAAACATTGCGAAACGTGAATTCAAAGTTCTCTGGCGAGGAAGATTTCCTGAGAACCCGACATACAGTACATGCAACCAGCCAAGTCAAAGGGGCTCAAAAACGAATCGGCTAAAACCTGGGCAGCAGAGTCAGAGGCGATGTCACTAAAGCTCACGTGGGAGCTGCAAATTGCGAAGGTCACAACATTCAGAGGTTCAACATGGCTCAGCAAATCTCAAGAAAGAAACATAGATCCTGATGTCCTTCCAATGCTTCTTCCAATACCTACAGTGCCCAAGCATAGCTTTTGCGGTCCCTCTTTCACATTGAGGTCCTAGAGAACGCCGTCGGGGGCAGTGTCGGCAATGCACAGTAATTCCATAAAAACGGCCATCTTCTCCTTCCCCAGGTGGGCACCCGAACGAAACCTGTACACACCCCAAGCTTGACGGGAAAATTCTGCGCCTTCAGGACTGGCGGCTGACCAGCGAAGAACGGAAGGAAACCTATGAAACATGTAAAGACCTCAAGAGTCCTTCTCCGGCCCTGGGTTGCCAACTGATACAATCCAAAAAGATGTACAGTGCAGAACGGCAAAGCAAAGGACCTTGGCCCAAAGATATGCAAACCTTGCGGTGTCCGAAGCCATTGAGCAATTGCTCTAGGTATGACATAGCCGACACTAGCATCCTACGTGGCAAAAAACTTTCACATGCCATGACAGCAATGTCCAGCATGTTCAGCAGTCTGGCAAGCCCGGCAAAAAACGATGCACATTGCGCCTTCTGTCATTGCCATACCTGCCAAACAAGTGGAAACTCTTATCAATCCTACGGCTCACCCTTTACGTCAGATTCCATTGGGTCACTGATTCAGGAACCAAAAAAAATTGTTTTCCCATGGATGGCCCTCAATAATATCAAAACCTCAGTGATTTCACTTACATTTTCCCAACACTTTCGAACATGTTCGAGCCTTCTCCTCAGTCTGGTTGTGGGCCTCGCCTTGGATGTCGGACCAGGATGGCACTGCCCAAATGCTTGGGCGGATGCGAAAGAAAAGATTTGGAAAATTTTGTTGCCTTCCACGCAAACCCCACTTAGACCTGATCGTTGCATATTGGTGCCACTTCTGTCACTTCTACTTCCCTGGCTCAGCTTCCGGCAAGAAATTTTTACCTGGTCATCGGCCATAGCTCCGGTCAAAAGGGAACAGAGCATGGGAGCATGTGGGTGCACAAGGTCACAAGATGTCACAAGGCACACGGTTTCAAGTTTTCCCAGTTTTCCCAGCTATTGTGACTTCTCAACAGTTTCTCTTTCCGCGCCTTCGCCATGATATCCAGCGTTTTCCGGGCCCGACAGGGGCGCGCCCTGCAGTGAGGTACCAAACTTCAAGCACAGACTCCAAGCACAAACTCCAAGCAAAGAAGAGAAAGTAATGTTGGTTTCAAATTTGATTTGAAACCAAATTGAAATGTAAAGGAAACCGCTTTATGAAAAACGTTCATCAATTTTCTTTGTGATTTTTTTTGTTCTTCAGCGTCAGTTGGTATCCGGGTGTCTGCACTGCTGCTCCGCAGGACGCGGTGCAGCTGCAGGCCTCAGGCACCAAGGCACCAAGGCCATGATACCCGTGTGGTTTTTTATGCGTTGAATTTGTTGAGGTATGTAATTATTACATATCATTATTACTTATATTGAAATAATTGTGTAATCTAGTACATATATTGTAATATCATACATATATAATAATAATAATAATAATATATTTCAATAATATAGTAATGATATAATATTAATATTATGATATAAAAATATAGTAATAGTATGAAAATACTAATATAATAATAATAGTATGATAGTGAAAAGAAAATGATAATGATAATATGCAATAATATAATAATATAATAATATACTAATATAATAATATAATAATATAATAGTATAATAATATAATAATATAATAATATAATAATATAATAACATAATAATATAATAATATAATAATATAATAATATAATAATATAATAGTATAATAATAAAATAATATAATAATATAATAATATAATAATATAATAATATAATAATAAAATAATATAATAATATAATAATATAATAATATAATAATATAATAATATAATAATATAATAATATAATAATATAATAATATAATAATACAATAATATTATAATATTATAATATAATAATATAATAATATAATAATACAATAATACAATAATACAATAAAATAATAATAATATAATAATAATAATTTAATAATAAAACAATATAGTAGTAATATAATAATGATATAGTAAAAATATAATAACACAATAATATAATAATAATATAATAATATAAAAATAATATAATACTATAAAATAATATTATAGTAATAGAATAATGTAATAATAATATTATAATATAATGATATAATAATATAAAAATAAAATATAATAATATCATATGATAATATGATAATGTCATAATATAAGAATATAATAAGAATATAATAATAATAATATAACAATATAGTAACAATATTATAATATTAAAATATAATAATAATATATAATAATAGAATAATACTAATATAATAATAATATAATATAATAATATAATACTATAATACTATAATACTATAATACTATAATAATATAATAATATAATAATATAATAATATAATAATATAATAATATAATAATATAATAATATAATAATATAATAATATAATAATATAATAATGTATTGATATAATAATATAATATAGTAATATAATATAATATAATATAATATAAAAATATAATAACAATATAATAATAATATGATAATATAATAGTAATATAATAATTGTGTAATAGTAATATAATAATGATATGATAATAATATAATAATATAATAGTAATTTTATAGTCATGATCATATAATAATAATAGTAGTAGTAATAATATAATAATAATATAATATGATAATATAACAATCAATAATATGATAATATAATAATATAACAATAATATTAAAATAATATAATCATAATATAATAATATATGCGCATATGTCATATGTGTATGCGTGTGTACCCAAATTACACATACCAATATAAACATACAACTTCTCCGGAGAACCTGGAGGTACAAGCGCTACCGAAATCACGGGATACGCAGTGTACTGTTCCATGGCTTGATGAAAGACACCAGTCGCTTTCGAATCTCTAAATCCAAGGCAACTGCACCAAAGTATCGCGACTTTGCATCAGATTGCATCAGATTTTGCAACCATTGCCCTTCAAAGGTCCAAAAGCATGGCTTCACTCGACGCCGCCATGGCACGGTGCCGTCGGCGACAAGTTCACCGGCCTCCCGAAATTCATCGAATGCAAAATTCCAATGCGATGAAATCGAAAGAATCTTGGTTTCCAAAGAAGGTTTTTGGATACCGAGGTCTTCAGTTAGTTAGTGAATGTTAGTGACACAATCGCTTTCAGCTGGCGGAGAACATGTTCAACTTGAGGTCCGCACTGCCCAGTCTTGAGTGCTGACGTGAAAGACCTCGATGCTGGACAGTACAATTACAAAGCCAGAAAATTGCAGAAATCAAAAAGAATACAGTAGTGTGTGTGTGTCGTTGAATTGTGTTGATTCAAGATCTGTGCACCTTGATTAACACAGGTACTGAGCAGGGCAAAACTTGTTTCTGGTTCATGCTAAAAACTTGGCCATTAAAGGCTTAGTCGGGGGCTGAAGTGATGTGCTGTCAAGTCTCCACAACCTACACTACATACTCTGGCGTCATTTTGTTTAATGACATCCCATACTTGCAACCTGTACAGAGATGCACAGAAGCTCAGGATCTAGTGGGAGAAAAAGGCTGTTCAAGAGAATGCATTGAGTGTCTGCCCGGGCAACCTGCCAGCAACTTATTGACTCTGAGTTGTGCATGGCAGGGTTCCAATTTGTTGTTTCGAGCTTCTTTGCCAGGGGCAATCTGTTTCTCTGACGCTGTTCGACATTGTTCTTTTGCAAAACTGGGGTGAAGTACCTGAAGGACCCCGGCAGTGAAAGGCGCAGGATGCGATTCATTAGTTTCAAGCAAAGTCCATTGATTTGCGAGTAATCTTCCATACCCCAGTTGCTTTAGTCGAGTTGTATTCTCTGCAGAGGGCCAACGTCGGATTCGGAAACTTCAGCGTCGGATTCGGAAACTCCCGGGCCCTCGGATTCGGAAACTCGCCGCCCGCCGGATTCGGAAGCAGTTTGTGTCAGCGAGTCTCAAATCCAGCCAATAACATTACAGCAGAAAAACGCTCTTTGGCAACTCTTCCAACACTCTCATTTCAGCTGAAAAGTGCAAGGAAGTCGATATCAATTCATGACGAGATACTATTGTGAAAGAAGTTATTTTCAGAGTATATATCTATGTTTGTTTTTTTCGCCTTGTTCATCTTCGCAAATGTGGTAGTAACCCAGTCTTTTTTGGACCGGTGACTTAGTCTGTCCTGAAGAATTTGTATGCTTTTTTTGGTTGTTTTTTACGTTTTTGGCTGGTTTATTTGACTGGTTCATTGCATGTCCGCACAGTTCAGTGTGACTGGCAGCGGGAGAATGAAAATGGGAACAAATATCTTGAACTCATCCGCCCCCTGAGAGCACAGACCCATTTGCACAGAAAGTAAAGTTTGCACAAGTTTGCTATAAGTCAGTCGCACTGGGCTTCTTGCTGCGCCATCTATGGCGGCTGTGGCAGTAACGTTGAACTCCTGAGGTCTTCTCGAAGAGTTTCACCACACGCCGGCGTTCAAAATCTTAGAGCCCCAACGGAACTGGCGGCGAGGCGGGGGCCCACGCGCGCCTCCAGTGCAACACAGCTGTGGATGCTGACATACGTTGACAAGCCAAACATTTTTCTGATTTTGCATAGTTGTAGGCGTACAATCTATAATACATTTAGTAGTGTGTGTGTATATACTATTCCTTACTATGACTATCATGTACTATGATATATTATGATATACTATCATATAACATTGTATACAGTACTAGATTGTGCCATCATATACTGTTAAGTGCTTTTAAGATACTATCATATACTGTACTGTCATATTACTATCATATACTATCATATGCTATCAGATACTGTCAAATACTATCATATGATATCATATAATGGGGTTTGACTTGGGAATCGATCCAGGCACCCCTGCCCTGTGTCGGCGGGTTGCTGAACATCTGACTTCACGAGCCTCAGTAGGTGCCATCCTTTCAGATCCCATAGGAGTTGAAAGAAATGAACCATAAATATATGGATAAATATATCACAACATGATATAGCATCTCATATAATATATGAATGATGTATCAATCTTAAGCAATCCAATCGCAATTCAATGTGGCAAGGTTTTCAGGCCAAATAATCTTGAATTTTATTCCAAGAGGCCGGAGGATGGACTTGCCTGCCTCCCTTGGTTGCGCAGTTGTCAATGGTAGGACGACACGCAAAACTAGACACCTGGGACCACTCTGTAAGAGCAGATAAGTTTGCTGTTACACAAGTTATATCCTTAAACCAAATTGTCTTTTTAACATGAACGCTACTGAGGGTTTCTGAAGTACAAATCCTGCAGCACCCTTTCAACAGATCAGCTGAACCATCCGCTGGCAGGTCTTGAAAAATCCCTCACAGTTGGATGAAATATGTCAACGGCAAGACCAAAAGTAGTATACTGCGATAGATTCATCTTGGTAAGGGTTGACCAACTGACCAACCAATCTTGATTCTTCCAAGATTCTGCCCTTGATCCACCATCAAGTGCTCATGCCTTGGTACACGCCATCTTCCATTCTGAGCCGTTTATGCAAAAAGCAATGGGATCTCCAAGAAGTTTTGGCATCGACCCATTCCCTGTGGATTCGGCATCGCGTGCTCTGGATGTTGGCCATAGCCGCGAGCAAAGCCCTGGGTTTCAATAGTGAACCAATAGGAAGGCAGGGGCCACAAGCATTTGACTTAAATACAAACTGATATCAAGAAGGACGGAATGCTACTGATGCAAGATATGGACACCTGCACATGATTTCGGGAGGACTCCTGATGTTTCTCAAGCGACTCAATATGATGTTCATCTATGAATATTTAGAGCATTGTGAGCCTTGTCCATCGGTCCTGGCATCCAACATGCCTGCATTCTGACCAGTTTGGATTTCAAAGCGACAGATTTTTTTAAAACAACTTTGGGACAGTTGTACAAAGAGTGATTACATGGTAGTTGTGAACCCATTATAATGACCATCAATGATCTACATCTATTCTATGTGTACTTGTTAAAACCAGACAAATAGTGCAAAGGAAGCTGTATTGTTCCCCACATCTTTGTGTGGGGTTCTTGTTTTTGGTTGTGTACTCCCGCCGCGCCTTCCCGCCCGCCGCCCCACATGCTCACCAACAACTTGCTCACACACAACTTGCTCACACACAACTTGTCCACGCACAACTTACTCACACACAACTTGCTCACACACAGCGCCTGTCCAACTTGTCACCACACAACTTACTCACACACAATTTGTCCACGCGCAACTTGTCACCACACAATTTGCTCACACACAACTTACTCACACACAATTTGCTCACACACAACTTACTCACACACAACTTACTCACACACAACTTGCTCACACACAACTTGTCACCACACAACTTGCTCACACACAACTTGCTCACACACAATTTGCTCACACACAACTTACTCACACACAACTTACTCACACACAACTTGCTCACACACAACTTGTCACCACACAACTTGCTCACACACAACTTACTCACACACAACTTACTCACACACAACTTGTCCACACACACACACAACTTGACACATACAACTTGTCCGCACACAACTTCCTCACACACACAACTTGTCCACACACACACACACAACTTACTCGCACACAACTTGCGTGGCAGGCGTGGCACTTATGGCACTCGACTGGCTCCGCTGGCTCGCTTGGGCCGCAGTGGCCGCCCGCTGTCGCCGCGGCTGTCGGCGTGGCAGGCGTGGCACTTGGTGACATCGACCGTCACTTTGCGTGGCAGGCGTGGCACTTGGAGACATCAACCGTCACTTTGCGTGGCAGGCGTGGCGTGGCACTTATGGCACTGCACTGGCTCCGGTGGCGCGCCTGGGCCGCCGTTGTCGCCGCGGCTGTTGGCGTGGCAGGCGTGGCGCTTGGTGACATCGAATCGATGGCACTTGGAGACATCGACCGTCACTTTGCGTGGCAGGCTTGGCACTTATGGCACTCGACTGGCACCGGTGGCGCGCTTGGGCTGCAGTGGCCGCCCGTTGTCGCCGCGGCTGTTGGCGTGGCAGGCGTGGCACTTGGTGACATCGACCGTCACTTTGCGTGGCAGGCGTGGCACTTGGAGAAATCGACCGTCACTTTGCATGGCAGGCGTGGCACTTATGGCACTGGACTGGCTCCGGTGGCGCGCTTGTCGCCGCGGCTGTTGGCGTGGCAGGCGTGCACTTGGTGACATCGACCATCACTTTGCGTGGCAGGCGTGGCACTTGCAGACATCGACGGTCACTTTGCGTGGCAGGCGTGGCACTTATGGCACTGGACTGGCTCCGGTGGCGCACTTGGGCCGCAGGCAGGCGTGGCACTTGGCGACATCGAACTTTGCGTGGCAGGCGCGGCACTTGCGGCACTGGGCTGGCTCTCACACCATCTTTGACCCACCACTTTGTCACACACCATCTTTCACACACCGTCTTTCACACACCATCTTTCACACACAACTTTGCCACACACCATCTTTGACACTTTGTCACACACCATCTTTGTCACACACCATCTTTCACACACAACTTTGTCACACACCATCTTTTGCCACACCATCTTTCACACACCATCTTTGTCACACACCATCTTTCACACACAACTTTGTCACACACCATCTTTGACACACCATCTTTCACACACCGCTTTGTCACCCACCATCTTGGACACACCACCTTTGACACACCACTTTGTCACACACCATCTTTCACACACCATCTTTGACACACCATCTTTGACACACCATCTTTCACACACCACTTTTCACACACCACTTTGTCGGACACCAGCTTTCACACACCATCTTTGACACACACCATCTTTGACTTTGACACACCATCTTTCACACACCGCTTTGTCACCCACCATCTTTGACACACCACTTTGTCACACACCATCTTTCACACACCATCTTTAACACACCATCTTTGACACACCATCTTTCACACCACTTTGTCACACACCATCTTTCACATAAAACTTTGTCACACACACACACACAACTCTTCACATACAACTTGTTTTACTTCTCGATCCTCCACCACCTCCTTTGTCTTTTCTTCCTTCCCCGTCCCGCTACAACATTTGTTGCCCATTATTGGAAGAAGTTGACATGTGGGGTTATCCGGTCCTTTAATTTTTTTGGCCTGGCCTCTGTGCCGCTTTCGCGGCCATTCCTCGACTCCTGCATAGCGTCCAAGAGATTTGCACATTGCACGCCCTATTGATCTACATGATCTACTTATGATCTACTTATGATCTACTTATGATCTACTTATGATCTACCAAACTTCAGAGCGAAGTGGCTCCACACTTTGCAAACCCGCAAAGCCGCCGAAGCGCACGTTTAATCCCTCACCTGACTTGTCAAATTGGCCGCTGACCCGTTTTCTGATCAGCTGGCTAGGTCGCTAGTGCGTCGAGAGATTTTGCTTGGCTAAGTCGCTTGCTCACGATGGGTTTTCACGCAGGAAGAGGCAGGAAGTGAACCAGAATATGCTCCGTCGAGGCGAACACAGGAAATCGAAGGCTGAAAAGTGGGCAACTTGACCGGGATGCAAAGTTTTGCAGTTTTGGACTGCTTCTTTGGCCTACCGAGGGTCGCAAATCGCATTTGGATGGCTTCACAAACTTCTGTCCAGAAGCCTTGCTAGCACTTTTGCCAGTCCATGTCAATGTTGTTGTGTTTTCTGGTTCAGAGTTCAAAATCCACTTGGAAGAGCTGCTAGCAATACCATTTATATATTAGTACGTCCAGCTTCAGTTGTCCTAGGTTTTGTGCGGATTCAATCACAGGCTCAGTGACGCCATGATTCACTCCTTCAGTCATTCACTCAACCCATTCATTCATGAATCGAGAAGTCAATTGCACTCAACCAAGAAGTAACTAGGAAGGATTTTCTGCTTTTGGCTCTCCCAAGATCTGTCGATAGGGACCTTCAGGAGCGCAATATTGTGGAAGAGGTGCCGATGAACGCAAGACATGCTCCGCAAACCAGTCGCTGTTTTTCTGTGTGTCCACGCATTTATGGAAATCACTTCAATATACTTCATAACAAATCAATGCATTTTGACAAATCTGACAAATCTGACAATGATTTGGCCCGGTCCCAGTGATCCTTCAGTGATCCTTGAGAAATTCAAGTGATCATCCCAGGGGATCCCAGCACACTCCTTGGCGTGGCGATGGCCGCGCATGGCCCCGCCATTTGGGGCCTTAGAGCTCTGAGAAGATCTGAGAAGCAGAAATCCAGCAGTCCAAGTGTGACATGTAGAGAAGGTCTGTGAATGTAGAGATGATCGCTTTCTGGTTCCATGTTGTTCCCTCTTCCTGGCCCACCTCCAAGTAGGCGCCAGTGTCTGCGGCTCGTACTCCAATATGATCCTATGGGAAAAGGCTCTGCTCTTGTGACCCGTGGTGGCCCATGGTAGCTACACACAGCCTGACTACAACAGTGCCAGGCAGGTTGCCGGTAATAGGATGTGAGGCTAGAAGAGGTCATTTGTTTTGGGGGGATGAACCGGTGAACCTTTGTTGTGCCCATTGCACTCCAGCCCTAGCTGGCCCTAGCTTCTGTTCCTCCCCGCATCCCTGGTCCTGATGTTCATTCGTGGCCTCGCCAAGCAAGCCGGCTTGCGTCAGCATTTGCAACATTTGAATAAGTATTTGGACTTTTTTCTTTGTGGAGCAGAGAAAGAAAAACAGAACAGGGGACTGTGGGAGCGCAATTGTTCTGCATCTATGACTTAGTTTTAAAATCCTCAAAACTTTTCTAGTCACAAACCACGCATGAATTAGCTTGTGAAACCCTTACCTATGCTAAACACACACAAAAAAAAATAACCCTATGTCCCAGCCACTCATGGGCCCCCATTGACTTGTTGTTTGTTGGTTTTATCAGGGTTTTTGCAAACCAATGGAACAAACAAGCCAATTGAGATCCATGAGTGGTTGGGACATATGGGTAAGTTTTTTGTTTCGGTGTTTTATCGAACTTTTGACTACTGTTCCCAAAAAGTGACAGTAACCACTGTCCATGTCTACTCAGCCACATGTTATGGACATCATTCAGGTGTGCATGTTTTGCTGATTTTCTCATGGTTTGGGTACCCTTCCCAGAAAGTTAGTTGAAACCACAGGGGGAAATACAACATAGCCAAGACTTGAAAATAGAATCAGCAAACAAGTTGTAGCATTGCCTTTTGAGGTCCTCCAGTACATGCCTTGTACGCCAATATCTGTTCTAATCATATGACATTCCTTGGATAAAGCCATATCAGTCCTTGCACAAAGTCGCATCATTTTGTCAGTCTCTTTGTATAAGGGAGTACAGCATTTATTTGAAAGGAATCCAAAGGCATTTTTCAACGAGACAGCTGTGCGAAGTTCTTTTAAAGAGGTACAGGAATCTATGGAAGAAGGACATCATTCTTTCAGAATAGAATCTCTTAAGTACCTATTTCAAATGACTATGGTATTCCAGAAAGAAAGTTTTACAGTGGAGGGGCAAAGGGGGCCGAAACGTGGGTTTCCGACGTTGCGCTGTGACGCTCCCGGGGGCGGGTGGCGCTGCGACGCTGCGACGCTCTGGGGGGCGGGTGGCGCTGCGACGCTGCGACGCTGCGACGCTGGAGCGGCGCTGCGACGCTGTTGGCGCTGCGACGCGGGATCCACGCTGCGACGCTGTTGGCGCTGCGACGCTATATACCTTCTGCCAGAGTGCACACGGCGTGGCGGGTCTGATCTCTTGTGATGCCCAAGGTGCACCCTATTGTACAGGGGCGGTGCGGGGTTGATGTCTTCTGATGCTCAAGACGTAACATAGCGTTCAAAGGGGCGTGGCAGGTCTGATCTCTTGTGATGCTCTAGGTGCAACGTATTGTTCAGAGGGGGTGGCAGGGTTAATCTCTTGTGATATTGAAGATGTAACGTAGTGTTCAAAGGGGTTGCGGGGCTTATTGTCTTAGGATGCTCAAGGTGCGACGTAGTGATCACAGGGGGTGGCAGGGTTGATCTCTTGTGATGCTGCAGATGCAAGATAATGTTGAGAAAGGGTAGCGGGGCTGATGTCTTGTAACGCTTAAGATGCAACGCATAGTTCAGAGGGCGTCGCGGAGCTGATGTCTTGTGAAGACTCCCTAAAGAAACCCTGAAGAAACCCTAAAGAAACCCCTAAAGAAACCCCTAAAGAAACCCCTAGGGAAACCCTAAACAAACCCTGCAGAAAAAAAACAACTTAAGAAACCCCTTAAGAAACCCCTAAAAAGCCCCTGAAGAAACCCTAAACAAACCCTAGAAGAAACCCCTCAAGAAACCCCTAAAGAAACTCCTCAAGAACCCCCTAGAGAAACCCTAAAGAAACCCCTAAAGAAACCCCTAAGAAACCCTAAAGAAACCCCTCAAGAACCCCCTAAAGAAACCCTCAAGAAACTCCTCAAGATACCCTAAAGAAACCCTGAAGAACCCCTAAAGAACCCCTAAAGAAACCCTAAAGAAACCCCTAAAGAAACCCTAAACAAACCCTGCAGGAAAAAAAAACTTAAAAATAAACCTTAAGAAACCCTAAAGAAACCCCTGAAGAAACCCCTAAAGAAACCCTAAGGAAACGCTAAAGACTCCCTAGCGTGATGCTGAAGATGCAACATAGTCTTCAGAGGGGATGGCGGGGTTGATGTCTTGTGATGCTCAAGGTGCAACGTATTGTTCAGAGGGAGCGCGGGGCTGATGTCTTGTGATGATGCTCAAGATGCAACATAGTGCTCAGAGAGGGTGGAGGAGCTGATGTCTTGCAATCCTCAAGGGGCGACGTAGTGTTCAGAGGGGGTCGCTGGGTTGATCTTCGAAGATGCAACATAGTGTTCAAAGGGGGTGGCGGGGCTGATGTCTCAAGGTGCAACGTATTGTTCAGAGGGGGTAAGCGGATTTGATGTCTTGTGATGCTGAAGATGTGACATGTTTGTTTCGGAAGTTTTGGTTGCTGAATCGTGCATTCCGGTTCTTGAGTCGCACATTTAAGTTTTTGAGTCGGACCTTTTGTCTTTGGGTCGCCTCTCAGTTGGCTTTGGAATCGCGACGCGGTTTTGGTTGCTGAATCGGTCATTTTGGTTTCTACATCGGTCATTTTGGTTTCTTAAATCGGTCATGCTGGTTGCTGAAGCGGGTTTTCTTGATTGTTGAAGCGGTCGACGATCCTTATTCCTTTCATTCATTTCATTCGCGTCATTCGTTGGGCTTCTTGGCTTCTCGGCTTCTCGGCTTCTCCGGTGGCTTCTCGGCTTTAGAAAGGAACACTGTATGTTTGGAGGAACTCTCTATATTTCGCGGGGATACTGCTTCTCGTACTGCATTGCCTTGAAGGAAAATTGCAGCTTATGAATGAAAGGTATATTGTGAAATGAAGACATCACTGCCAAGGGAACACTGTATCTTTTACATGAAATCCTCAGAATGTGCAGCGATTAAAGGATATCAAAGGGTTGTACTTGCGGCTGTTTGAAAATAGTTTAGCTTACTAGGGTGTAGCTGTAGCTATCTCTCATACTGTCTCATTCCCACCGACCAGGTGTAGTTATTACTGATTTTTTTTGGCTGGTGGCATCTTCATTTGGAGGATGTTTTTGGCAGAGACATTAGGCATGATGATGTTTATGAAGAATTAGCAATTAGCACCAACAACCTACTGTAAAATTAACAAAGAAGCGCACTCCCATAGTCCCCCGCTCTCAAAACAAACCTGAGGAATAGCCTTTGCTCTAACCTAGTGCCACGTGTTCAGCGCAAATTGGCCATACAAACACGAGCTTGACATACTTTGGCAACAGTTACAACAGCTTGACACGGATTGATCCCTGATCTGCTCCCATAGAGCTGCCTCGTCTGTGCTGGAAGCACAGCTGGCGGCAGTGCTAGCCTCGAGTTGGAACAGCTGCTGGATGATGCGTGCGCTGCAGAATCTTCAGATTCAGAACAAATATTGGTAGAAGAAAATGCAGAACAATTGTACAGCAAGTGTAGAACATGTCCGGACAAAGTCACACAATTCCCTATGGCACCATGGCATGTCGACCAGCCCCGCATATTCCTAGATCTTCCCAACACCGCACCTCACTAAGGCTGTGGGTCCGTGTGTTTGCAGTGACCTCTGCATCTGTGTGGCGCAAAGCCTCCAAAGTCACGATATCCCCCCCATGCCGTGGCAACCTTTGGTCTGACATCTTTTCAAATCAATTGCAATTGGCCAATAAGTAGCTAATATGCAGCCAATAAGTAGCTAATATGCAGCCAATAAGTAGCTAATATGCAGCCAATAAGTAGCAAATAATCAGCCTGTAGAGCCTGTGGGGTCAAACTGTTCTGCAGTTCTGTTTCCGAAAGCTCAGCGATTCATGGAGCAGCACCTCCGCAGCAGTTGGTGCCGGCATCCTCTCTTGTCCGATTGGCAAGTGGTCATGGACCTCAGAGACAAGAGTACCACAAGGACTGCAAAACATCTGTATCCGACTGCATCCCTACTCAGGTGCGCAAGAGTTTTTCTTCATGTGTGCAACATTTGCAACTAAAGACTTGAAGCAGTTTTGATTTGATTTGTCAGCTCTGTGGAAGATCTATGTGAGTTCTTTGAATTCTTCATGGAGTTGATGGATGTCTATGGAACGTTTCCGCGACTCTTTGTTGACGACATTTCAAAATATCACCAGGTCTTCTCAGACAGATAACAGTTGATTTGTTTGTACCTTTGCAATGTCTGGAAAACACGTTCATGAACAAAGAAATTCAAGATGTGCAATATCTCCTCCAAATCCTCCAAGGATCTAATGCAAGATGTAAGATCCATGTTGTGTGAGATCTCTTCCAGGTGCAAGGGTTCTCTTAGGGTTCTCTTATTGTATCTCTTAGAGATTTCATTCAAAGAGCTCCTTTATCGTCACCGCTTGAGTATCTCTTTCGATGCCTATTTAAGCTGGCGAATCAACAAATCAATACATCACAGTTGAACACATCAAAGTAATAACAGTATCATTAGTATGTATGTGCAATGTATGTGCATCATTGTGCATCATTATCACTGTTGTTGGATATCTGTTATTGATTTTATGGATGTTTTGGTCGTTATGAGAGTCTAGTAGTTACCGATTTACACCGGTAGTTACCGGTAGTTGAGCTCCTCACCGAGAGCTTACGCCCAGGTCTGGCTGCCGGCTCGCCCCCTGCATGTGGTTCCTGGGATCGCGGCCTGGATCCCTGATTTGGAAGATGTGAATGAAAATTGTGCAAAAATCAATGAAAATCAATGAAAATCAATGAAAATCAATGAAAATCAATGAAAATCAATGAAAATCAATGAAAATCAATGAAAATCAATGAAAGACTATGGCTCCAATTGACAGTCAACATGAGTAGAAAACAACATCATCATATTGAAATATAGGATGTATGCCACCAGAACGGAAGTGCAGACAAAGGATCTGAAAGGTAGTTCAGTTGACATTGAAGGCCTTGTCAATCTTGCTCACAAGTAGTTCATAATAAGATATAATAAGTAGTTCATAAGTTTAATTCATAGGTTTAAAGCTCCGTTTGTTTTCTTCAGTTTTTTCCCACGATGATTTCGCAGAGCTATGCCGCACTGTCGTCTTATGTCGCCCTGGCCCTGATGGCCTCTTTGGCCGCCCTCTGCGGTGGAAACACCAACCCTCAGAGTTTCGTGCAGCTTGTGGTTGTGGAAGTTGTGGAAGCTGGCAGATTAGGCAACAGTTATAACAGTTAGGATGGTTGGGCAAGTTGGGCAGGTTTGCGAAGACACTGCGAAGAACGGGCTTTGCCATTCAGATGTGGACACAGCACTGCTAATCACTGTAACACATGTTTAAACATGTAACACATTGGTGAAGAAGTTGTGAAGACATGTGATTTGAAGAGCAACAACGCTGCAGATCTCCGGATCTCGCTGAGAAACTTCGTATAGAGCTTGAGGCTCCAGCACGAACCTTCATGTTTTTGCAGCCTGGCATAAGTAGCCTGGCGCGTGTCTCAACCTTCTGGTCGATTCCTAGGTTTGATACGTGCATCTTGAGACCCATTGGGGCCAGAAGGATGATATTCCGATGTTACATCTTGATCCATCTTGATCCATCTTGATGGATTGCATCGTTCTTGACTGACTCAACATGATTCAAGCCCGTGATGCACAAACTTTGGCAACAGCCAAAGCTGCATCCCCAACCTGAATGTTTTGCAACAAGCACATCTCCTGCAGCACGATTCCAGCTGTTGGTAAAAAGGGATGCGCCCACGGGATTCACCCAATTTCAAATGAAAATCCTTTTTCAATGCCCAAAAAGATCCAAGAAAATGGCTGGGGTGAGCTTTCTGGCTAAGTGTCAGAATAGTTATTCCAGTTATTTCCACGGAAGTACCAATCATCACAGTCGTCCACACTGTCCTGCATCTCTCCAAGCACACAGTTCAGGTTCCTCGACTCGTCCACGGGATCCTCAAGGATTTGGGCTCAAAAATTGAATTTTGCTAGCCTTCCAAAATCTGCGTGTAAATTTTCCATAAACATATAACATCATATTAACATTATATAACTTTTGCATAACTGTAGAATAACTCCAAAAATCTCTGCATGGCCCCGCCAAGCCGCCTCTCTCCATCTCTCCACTCCCCCGTCCTCCACATGCAGGCGATCGCAATGCCTCTCAGGGAAAACTGGTTGTGGCGCTACTTGATATGGTCGTGCACGGTCTGATGTACGTCTGTACATCTGATTATGTATGATATATATATATATATCATATTATGACGTATACATCATATATATATATATACATATATATATATATATAAATACAATATTACACTGTACTGATATACACACTGTATATTTATTTTGAGATGATGAATTGGTCAAATGGCAGCAGTGCATCCCTTGGCCTTCCCTTCAACTTTTGAAGCACGGTCTCGTTGCTACTAATCCGCTGCCCGAAGCGAACAGAAACGACCTGCCAACATGGCCGGAGATCTCTGGCACAAGCACCCAACATAAAATAAAAATAAATCTAAAAGGAACAGTGTATCGAGCAGAGAAGGGAAGAACAAAAATGCCAAAAGTGTGAGAGGATTTCATCCTAATGACCCCAGCACCGGCAAGATTGTAATTAAATCTTGTGTTTTTCTATCAAATTCTTAAGATATTCACTACTTGATGTTTCTTAAGAGTTAATTAAAAAATATTAAAAATAATGAATGACCAGATACTATTATTCAAACAAGAAAGTGGATAAATGTTCATGCGCTAGACTTTCAGTTTGAAATAGATAGGTTTGCCCTGTGCATTCCTGTGCACGCCGTCTTTGGTTTTCTTCAAAAGTCCGCCAGTTTTTGCAGAAAGCTGATCTTCTAAAGTCCCGTTCTCGCCTCCTTTCCCCAAGAAAACTCCTAGCAAGAGAAGCTGCTGAAATCAAACACAACTCTGGCCCAACTTCGGCAGTTCAAGCTTTGGACCAACAAAGGAAAAAAATGCGAAACAATGCGAAACAATGCGAGACTATGGACCGTACGAACAGATACCGAGTCAGTCAGAGGGTCATCTCCTGGCTGTAGAATTGAAAGAAACGGAGCACCATCTGCCCAAGCGAGAGCGAACCTGACGGCGACCCAGAGGAAGACACAACCAGAAAAAGCAGCCCTTAATGGCCCTGCACGAGAGGCTCAGATGTCTGTGGAAAATCTCTCCACAATCTTCACTCTCCATCTGTCAAAAGATCAAGGTCTACTGCAGGGCGTCCGGACAGTTCCAGGAGCTGCGGGCTGCCTGACAAGGGCCACAAGGGCCACAAGGGCCACAAGGGCCACAAGGGCCACAAGGGCCACAAGGGCCACAAGGGCCACAAGGGCCACAAGGGCCACAAGGCCACAAGGGCCAGAATCAGGGACTGGCAGCGGCAAGGACTGCGCCGGGCCCCACCTTGACCTTCTGCTCTACATCGGGGTTCCCATCCTCCTGGCAGACATGGAATTCCTGCAAGTCCCACTGGGCCACTTTGCCAACTGAAAAACGCTTCCGCTTTTCCTGAGACTTGGAGTTCTCCTTAAAAAGTCCAACAGGAAGCATCACGAGCTTGATCTTTGGGTGAACCTGCTCAGATTCACAAGGGACAAAGAAGGTGTGGCGTCTACCTGTTTATTGCACAATATTGCACTAGCAAATATTCATGTGTCTTGTCTGTACTTGGATCGGCCCAACTCAGGGATTCGAGAAACCATAACAGCAACTACATATAGCCCAGCTACAGCCCATTCGAGTTGAAACGGATATGAAACTGCTCATCTCAGTGCAGTGCTTGCAGCGGTTGGTACCAGCCGTGGCACCAGCGATACACACAATAAACAGGCTTGTGAGTGAAGATGATAGATGAAGAATGCACAAATCTGTGAGCATCTGCTCCCATCTGATCTCCGGTCACCTGCATGAAGTAGATGGCCATCAAGGTCAGTGCGTAGGACGACAGGTGCGACTGGGATGCACCGCAAACTTCGTGGGCCTCCAACAGAGATGCGGACATCGAATCAAGCAGGAAGCAATGCAGCAAGTCCAAATTGTCCGAACTGTCCGAAGCTGATGCTCCACCGCTCCACAAATCAAATATATATATATATATATATATCTATATGACTAAGCCGACTAAGCACCTAGTGACCTAGTGGAGAGAACAATTACCCCTGTGAAATCATCAAATGACAATCTGAGCCCCCTGTAAATAGTTTGCACCACCCCGCTACCACCAAGTCAATCTTACCTTATGTTCCTTCCAGCGCGACGTCTCACATGTCCTGCCTTTGCCCAGAGCTTCACTGTAATCACGAGATCCCGAACCCTTTCATCCAAGCTGGAATATGCCTGGCAGCATCTGGCAGATCATGAGCACCTCCTTCTGACAGTTCAAACACAACGAGAGTTAGGAAACAATTGCATATAATTGCATGCAATTGCCATGTTGAAACAGAGCATGTGTCTCAGCAATGTCAAAAAAAGACATCAAAGATGGCTTATTAAAGTCATTGCATACCCACACCCGCCTTGAGAAGCTTTGTATTTTGCAATGGAAGTGTATTGTGGCACGAGAGATCTACCTGCAGTCTTCATTCCCACATTGCTTTCACAGAAGGACTTGCTGCGCTCAGAATTGATCTGCAACTGCAACCCCACACCTATCACTGAGTATCACTGAGACCCAACCGGATCCAACAGTATTGCTGATATCACTGATATCACGCAGAATTCCAATTTCCAACTTGTGTTTTTTTGGCACTGGAGGACTACACTTCACAACTTTACAAACGAAGAAATGGCACATAGGCTCTCCGCTTTGGTTTCCTTTGCGGCAAACAAAGTATGACTTGACTGCGATTGTAAGCTCCTGGCTTCTAACTCACCCTCAAAACAAAGCTTGAGAATTGGAACTCTAGCATGTAAGACCTGCAAAGGTGGCCCAACATTGACAAGAATTGACAAGAAGTCATTGCGCTGAAACTGTGAATTACGTCTGCTTTGATGTTGAAAAGCGAAGGAACTTTGCGAACCTGCGGTGTCTGTCGGTGTCTGTCGGTGTCTGTCGGTGTCTGTCGGTGTCTGTCAGTGTCTGTCGGTGTCTGTCGGTGTCTGTCGGTGTCTGTCGGTGTTTCAGATTCGATCTCACCTCCTGAGCCATGGCGAACTCAGAGTGCTCCCGCAAAAGGGGCGCAAGTCGTTCACCTTAGCGAACAGCAGAACCTGGCAGCATAGCACAGCCGCATTCGGTACCCGTAGAGTGCGTAGAGTGCGTAGAGCCTTAATATGAGATCTTAATGAGATCTCAATGAGCCTTAGATTCTGAATGATTCTGAGCTGGGACGCCGGACTGAGAATTTCTGCTGGCTGCTTTTGCTCTTCCTCGTCCTGGCACCGAATCAAGCAGAATCCACATGTTGACTTTTTCGACTTGGGCCAGTCATTTATGTCATTTCTGTATGCAGAATCCCAACAATCGCTTTGGCCGTTACTTGAAAAAGCTTCTGTCGCAATATTGGCTATTCACCGAGAAACCTACCGTTAGCCTTGAAACCAGCTGGAATGTTGAATCAGACCACCTGAGATTCCCTAGCAGACAGAATAAGGTTTGGCTACAGCTCAGTAATAGAACTGTTAGGAGGCAAGACAACAGAGGGAGGGATATCAGGGGATACAGATACAGAGGCATCCAAGAAAATCCACGGGGAAATTCATGGTTTCATAGCCATCGCCAGTCATCGCCAGTCATCGCCAGTCATCGCCAGTCATCGCCTCATTCTCCTTGAGCTCGTAGCACGTAGCATCCAAATCGGAGAACTGCGCCACGCTAAGCCGCTAAGATGCGAAGCGAAGCATCCCAAGATGATCCCAAGATGATCCCAGACCCGTTACACATCGTTGCACTGCAAAGACTTGGTCGCAACGGCACCACACCTTCGTGCCAAAGCCGTTGGCAGCGCTGCCAAAAGGGCTCACGCGCCATTTCCGGCCCAAGCGATTTGCAACTGCCTCAGATTCGTTGTAGATGTGGGATGATGTGGGATGATGTGGGATGATGCGGAATGATGTAGGACGAGGTTGGATGTGGGACCCAAAAATGTAAACTTGAAATAATTGGAAAATTCTGAGACATTCCACATATTCCAAGACTATGGTGACTAGGGTGACTATGGTGCTTGGCTTTCACTGTGTGCGTTTCCTCAATCCCACCGTGCCTCCAGAGCCTCGATACATCGAGCCATTCGCTGCCTCACCTGGCGCTCCCGCCTTGATCTACGAGTGCTAGGCTATAGTCGGATATAACCAGCTATAGCCGGCTAGGTTCCGTGGCGTTCCATGATGAATTTCTGGTTTTCCATTATGGTTTTCCCATTGTGAAACACGTATTCAACATTATTCAACACTGCGATGAAGTTTCAATGAGGAAATGCCACCACCTCGTCGGTCATTTCGTACTCATCGAGCCTGCAGCCAGCTAAAGATATCACATGGCATCATGCATTGAATCATGCATCAAATGATTCAAATGCATCGAATGATTCAAATGATTCAAATGCATCAAGCACTGATCTAAAGCTCTGGTGACCTTCTGCCCCTACTGGCCCCACTGATTTCGACAGAAACTGTTCCCCATGCCACCTGGCTCGGACTTCCTCTTCAATCATTATCTGATTTTGGAGTTGTTGCGGCTGCCTGGTAGTGGGCAAGATTGCAACGACTTGTCCCAGAACTATGTGGTGCTAGGACCTTTTCTTTCCGTCCAAACCAGGCAAGTGGTACTTAATAGCTCACAATAACATGCAATAGCTAATAAACATCAATACTCACTTGCCCGAGTCCACATGGAACTTCAGAAACAACAGAATGCACTTTTGATTCTCTTTTGATCCGACACTTTGAATATCTTTGTGCCAAAAGATGTGACTCCAAGAATGTGCACCTATTTTGGCGGCCATAGGCCAGGTGTGGTGCTGTGGCAGCTACGACAGCCTAGCGCCCAGCGGAGTTCACTTGGAGCCAAACGCACGGTGCTCATGACGGCTCATGAAGCAGGCAAATCACAGAAACAAATCACAGCTCCAGCGGAAGCAGGGAAGCCATGGGAAGCCATGGGAAGCCATGGGAAGCCTTCATGTGGTGAGACCGTTTTGGATCGTCCCTCACCTCAGCGCCACTCTAGGACTCTAGGGTTGCTATTGAGGCACAAGGCGCACAAGGCACACAAGGCGCACAAGGAATGAACATGAAAGTCATGCACTTGAGTCACTTGAGGTTACCTCGTTGACAAATGACATTGAACAGCATCGTGATATTGAATAGCGGTAGCTCTAGCAGCTATAGCATTGGACAGTTTGACCTGCAAACAATCATATGTTCAAATGTACAAGCAAGACTGGAGTGGCATAGGAATAGCAGGCCATAGCACTTTCTGGTCAATTTTAGTCTATCAGTGCTTCCAGACTTCACTAGCATCTTTACACATCAGTAGGTTTTGGCATCTTCCTCTCTGTGAAACAAATTCTGATAGATCCATAAGACACTATCACCACAGCTCTTGACTGAAAGTTGTTGGGAACCCGGCTGCAACTGCCTAGGCAGAAGTTTCAGCCAGAGGCATCAACACATGTGTGGATCCTTATCACCAAAGCCTTTTTTGTGGTTTTCTATTAATTCTCATTCAACTGATTCCAATGCGTTGATGCTTGACAGGAAGAGAAACAAATAAGGTCCATTTGATCCCCCATTCATGGTGAGATATGGAGGAAAACAGTTGTAAACAAATGGTGAACATCTCTTGAACTTGCAATTTTTGCACCCTACAAGCGTCATTTCTGCACTAAGCCATCCTACACTGAGGTCTTACAGATTGCCAACATTTGCCAGCTACATTGTGCTAGGCAAATACTTGCCTGTGCATATAATATGTATATATATATAGTGTATATATATATATATACATTATATTGATTATATATTATATATTATATATATTGTATATAGTATATATATATTATATATTATATTATATATATATTATATACTATATATATATTATATATATTATATATACTATATGTATTATATATATTATAGTGTATTATATATTATATATTATATATATTGTATATAGTATATATATATTATATATTATATTATATATATATATTATATACTATATATATATATATTATATATATTATATATACTATATGTATTATATATATTATAGTGTATTATATATTATATATATTATATATTATATATTATACACTATAATATATATAATACATATAGTATATATAATATATATAATATATATATAGTATATAATATATATATATATTATAGTGTATTATATATATTATATGATATGTATACTATATATATTATATATACTATATATAATCTATATATTATATATACTATATATATTATGCGTACTATATATAATATATATTATATATTATATATTATATATATATATTATATTATATACATTATATTATTTATTATATATATAATATTATATATATATCATACATTATATATATATTATATATATTATATATTATATATATATTATATTATATATATTATATATATTATATATATTATATATTATATATATATTATATTATATATATTATATACATTATATTATATTATATATATATTATGTATATATTATATTATATATATATTATGTATATATTATATATACTATATACATATATTATACATATATTATATTCTATATATGTATATATTATATATACTATATATATATATATTATATATATATAGTCTGCTATAGTGCCAGTCATGCCATACAGAAATCCTGCCATACAAACTCCACTGTTGTATGCAGCAAATCTTTCACAAGTCCAATCTGATGTCTTTCCACCTGAACGTCTTCAATTCTTTTGTTGCCAAGCTGCCGTCATTATTGGGGCACTTTGCCACTGGCAAGCTTGCGCCGTGCCTATGTACACCTTGGCGTGTCAGTGCATCAGTCCCTCTTCACAAGCCAATCGGAACATTGGTCGCTCTTGAATGCAACACGGAGACGATCAAGGTACCAAGGTCATGAATTCAATGAAGCCTTTCTGTACCATTCAAAAAGGGGCAACTGGCACACCATAAGTTTCTTCAACCTGGTCGACCCACCTCGGTGCCCTGGACAAATCCGAAACCTTCGCAGCATAAAATCAGCTTCATGGGGGCAAGACCTCCTCCCAAAGCAGACTGAGGGCCGGACCAAATTCCGGCTACAAAAGTAGCAAGAAGTATATTGGCTGAGGGGAACAGAACTGGAACTGGCGAATGAGTGGATGTCTATAAATTTTGCTACCGACACTATAGAAATTGAGCCAATTCATGTGTCCAAATGCATATGCATGTAGCAAGATGCGACCACGAGCATGTACCGCGTGATAAAGTGGGCATGTGCAGGCGGACGCATGTGTGAGTGTGATGCCCGGATGAATCCAAGCGAATGCCGCGACGGTGCATGATGCGTGATGCGACGAACACGAGTGTTGCATAGGAGTGACATAGGGGTCACTCCGCTCATGGGGGCCTCAGCACCGGGGGCCCGCGACGCTCGGAAAGGTTAAACTTGAAATGCTAAATTTAAAGTTTAGGTTTAAAAAAAATAAGAAGGACCCAAGGATCTATGTTGTGGCCTCACGACCATTCGTGACTTGCATAAGATACTACGTATTCTAAGCAGGCCGATTTCTCACTCTCAAGAGTTCTTCAGCCCCGCTGAGTGAAAACTTTCTTAGGCACGTGAATCACGAGTCTCGAACAAGCCAAAAGCTATGAAATGACAGTGATATCTCTAGGGGAACAGGATGTAGCAAAACGGCCTTGGAATGCAAAGGCTTTAAAGGGATGAAGCTCAAACAGATTTGATGAAAATAAATGCACGACCCAAACAGCCCACGGAAAAGATGTGAAATTGAAGTAGCTGTTTCAACAGCCTTTATTTGGAACCCGCCCAGTGCGACATCTGGAAGGCTTTCTAATCACAAGATGTCACAAGAATCCAAAGTGACATTCCGATTTTTCTATTCTAGAGTGATAGGATGACATAACTAGCACTATAATATAAGATAATATAAGCACATATATCAGCGCCCATCCATATTCACATCTGGATCATGGGATCTGTGATCTCTTGTGATTTCTGCATCTCTGAGGTCGAGACGACTAGCGCTTTTTCACAGCCCCGAGAAGCCCTGCAACTGAGCCATGAAGCGCGCGGAGCGCGGAGCGGCCCGAGCGAAGCCGTGACCGCAATGGACGATACATGTGTGGATTATGGCCATGCCATGGAAATCCTTATGGCTATGGCGGCTATGGGAAACCCACGATGGGAATCCCATAACGGTGAAGATCAAAAAAAGCTTTGGGACCATTGTCAAATTGTAATCATTTGGACATGGATGTTCATCCCCTCGAAAACTCTCTCACAGGTATTGAATGTTATTGGCTCATACCACCCCATACCCATTTACATATGCCATATTCATATGGCCGACATGCCTCTTTCTTAGGAGTTTGAAGGGAAGGTCGACAACTGATCAACGACTGCAACGGTAAATAACCTCTGTTTCTTTGAGAAATAGCCTGGATGTTCACATTCGCATAGAAGTCTTAGTGAACTTTCTTCGTCTTGACGTGACCTGTTTCCAGTACTATCTATTGGATGAGTTCAGTCCAGTGACTCCTTTTTCCTCCTCTGCACAGTACAGCATGAAGCAAGAGGAAATACCAAACAGCAGCATCACAGTAGTCTCAAGCTGGTTGGTGTTCAGGTCAGAATACTGTGTGTTAATATGTTCTATGATTCCAATCTGTTAGTTTCGTTGTACCCGTGAACAAGCCCCGCATGCCAGAAAAGGGGGCCGCCAAGAAAGCATGGCTTCCATACTAAAGTAGACGGATTTGGTCGAGATTATGACTAGTTCAACATAC